GAAACCCTACCAGCGGTTAGAAGAAAAAATTTACAGCTCATGTATGAGACTGGCCGAGCCGAACCGAGCAGAGTCAAGCCGAGTTTTTGTAATTGCCGTGAAATAGTGTTGGCAAAGATGGTAGATCACTTTCCGGGTACCGGTCGACCAGCAGCGGAGCCGAGGCGAGTTTTTGTAGCTGCTTGAAATAGGGCGTAAGGAAGTTTTGTCTTTTGACTTTGAACTTAGTTCGAATTGCCGAGTATTTATGTTTACGCATGTTTATATCTGCTTATATTTTGACATGAGGAGTGAGCCGGACGCTTTTCGAAAATATTTAGCAGTGTGACAGCAGTAGAAGGTTGTCATCTAGGCTTAGAAAATCTTTTTCCCATTGGTGGATCCGAGCGAGCAGTTCCAGCTCGATAGTAGACACTAGTTAATTACACATTTGAACTTGTTATCGAGGGCGGATACACGTGGGATCTGTAGGGGAACGAATACCTTCCTTTCGTCCAGCACTTCTCGGTCCGAAAATGTGGTTGGATTTGCACTTGGACTAGCTGTAATTTTGTAGCTTGTTCTCCAGCTGTGCATCTGGCGACTTCTCCGGTTGCTTTGACCAGTGCTGTATTGCCTGATATTGGTCAGCGTGCTGATAATCCTGTCATTCACTTTATTTCTTTTAGAACTTGTTCAAAACTATCAGAATTGATCGGTGCTAAAAGAAGCGATGGAGGAAGCGCAGCGGGTTGATGAACCAGCGAGTGGGCCCGATGACTTTGCCGGGGTGTCAGCTGCGAGCGACAAATCACGACGGAGAAGAGGGAAGGTAAGTCCACAAGTACCGAAACAAATGAGAACGAAATTGTTTCGCAGGTTGAGCGTTGCTTTTAGAGGAAATATCCGGAGATACGGAATTCAAGTGCCGAGGAGGAGCTGAATACGTGCAGTTCATCGACTGCTTTCGAGAGAATGGAAGGCAAACGTCTCTTATCGCCGTTTTGCGATCTGCCTAATGAACTTATCATCATGATCTGGTAAACTTTTGCCTTTTTGTTTTAAAATCCGATTGTTTGTAATTGTCTAATATTCATGTTTACTTGAAATTACTTGCTACAGTTGTAAGTCAAATTTGGTTCTAAACTGATGCAGCTGGCAATTTTTCCAGCCACACTGGTCAATGTTGCATCATGTTGCTCTGTGCTCAACATGTCGTCGATCCGTCTATTCGTTTTGTTTCTGGAAGGCCTGAGGGATCCTCCTGAGTCAAATTTTATCCCTTTTGAGATGTCCTTGATACGTTGAGAGCATCATTATCGCGTTTAAGGCAATTTAAAACTGGCGATTAGGAACTGGCATATGCGCCGGTTATTCCTACCCAGCTGATATTGATAGTACTGATGACTTAGGCTTAGCTGGTACTGATTGCTAAAATCGCCTGGAGGAGAGTTCCTGATGTTAGTCGAGACTGCACCTGCCTCCTTGAACCGGAGCTGCACGCCTCAGTTTGCATTCGCCGCTTATCCGATGTATATGCTTCATCGGTTGGGAAGGCTGTCCTCGAGGCTGATCACGATACTAGTCCCTGACACATGATGTCTTTCGACTGCATTTCTATCAGTTAAATAATAGAGTTCGAAAAAAATCACTTCATGAAAAATTTAAGGGATTATATTCCTTACGAGGAGACTCCTAAGTTTCGTCTGGTCTCGAGACGCTGGAAGTTGTTGTGGGAAGCCTTGAAGGGCAGACGCAAAAGGATAACAAGATTATGCATCGAATTTCGCGATGGAAAGGTACCTTTAGATTATCGCTGGGTTGATGTTCCCGATTGTTTGGTTTTCAAATGTATTCTAGATAGGGGTTTTGCTTCTCTGCGTTTTGCTGTGCTACAACGGTGTAAAACAAATTGTTAAGGTCCTGTGTATATGTTTGGATTTCTGTTAAAAATCAATAATTGACCAAAGTACGGGCTGCTCGCGCGAAGATGCGTTTTTTGCATAGTTCTCCGCAGTTTTTGTCGCTACCGGCATCGGTTTTTTCGACAATTGCTTCTAGTTAAACAAATTAAGA